GCTGGTTACAGTGTAATTGCTTCCGTTCTTTTGTGCCAGTCGGCTACAGGAGGACACCGCGTGTTTTAATATCGGTGTAATGGCGTCGGGCACGTGGCCGATGGTAATTTAATATCGGTATGCAATTAAACGCACGATTGCCGGGTATCGTGCCGACGAGAATCGTTATCGCGGTAACAACCGACGCGACTAAATAGATTACTGCTCGGATGTGCTTAGTCACGGGAACGCCGCGGAGTATAGTCGGAGCGGAATCAATTGGCCGTTCAAGGACGCCACCCCCACTTCGAGGCATTCATCCCCACAATTGAGTAAATGGAGATTGTTCGTTTCGCTCGGAAAACTCTGTCGGGGTTTGTACTGAGAATATATGAGCCGTTTTTTTCAATACCTTGATCTACAATATCGTGTCAGACTCGTGAAAATTGTCAATTGAATTTAAGAAATATAACTGTTATTAATTTGAAATATGAATGAGATATTACTTTTCTATTATCAATTAACCTTTGGAGTAAACGTAGACAGAATAAGCGTGAAAATTTGTTGTGTTCTTAATAAATCTTTAACGATAAAGTAGTTGTATCGATTATAGTTAAGAAATGAAGCATTGGGCAAGGCGTTAAAATGGTATAAGTCCATTTTTTCATATATATTTTGTATATATAAATATATTATATATATTATATTATAATAAAGAGGACATCTATATTTCATTGAAACTACCACCAACTCATTTCTTTCCAAAAATGGAGTTATACCACTTTCAAAAGATGCTGGTATATCTAAGTCATATCTTTGTTGTGTTTTAATTTAGTTGGAAATAATGTGACGTGTAATCACTGATAAACTTTCAAAAGATGCTGGTATATCTAAGTCATATCTTTGTTGTGTTTTAATTTAGTTGGAAATAATGTGACGTGTAATCACTGATAAACGGAGTATTTATTGTTTAAATTTTATCGATGGGGAATAGTAAGTGTAGGAATAAGTTTTAGAGTATAGATTGTTGGAATAGATTATAGAACAGGTTAGGATAAATCTTTGAATAGAATGAATTATTAGAACAACTCTCATCATAACCGAAAAACAATGAATTTGCAGTGTAACGACAATAGATATTAAATCCGATAACAATGGAATATTAAGACACCTATTGTGTACGAATATAAGGAACAAAGGTGAATATTAATCTCGGGTATGCGAAACGAGAAACGAAAACCTGAAGGAGATGAATGCCTCCGAGGAGTCAGAATTCTTGAATAGACAAACGCTTATGCTCCGACTAAAGCACAGCATTTTAATTAATCATCACCGGGAGAATCAGAGGCACGTTCAGTCAACATTTACGCTACCGCTGTACAGATGCTACTCGCGAATCAAATCGAATCGAATAGAAAACGTATGCCTGTATTGGAAGAATTCGAGGAATTAGAACCTAACGTTGGTACACCCTAGTGGCGCAAAGAATATTAAGATAGTTTCAAGGTATCGAGTGTTAGGTATCGCAAAACGTTAATTAATGTAACTCGATATCGGGTTGCTACTATTCGTCTAACGGCTGCAAGACGTCCTCTCTCTGTTCTATCATTTTTACGCTTACTGTTGCGTGTCGGAGGTTTCTCACCCCGACGAAAATCCTGTAAACAGTCTTATATCATATAAAATATGAATACCTCCGTGGATCACGTCGTAACGTTGCGAGCGAGATCGGTCGAGCGACGCGGTGATCAATCACGCCGATAACATCGTTGCGATAATTTTCCGTGTACAATAAACCCCGCGCGCCGACATTCTCGCGGATGAATCGAGATCCACGATCTTACAGCATGCAGGTTTAAGCAGCCGGAAAAGGTTACGTCGCTGCAGATTTTCCTGGTAAATCGCTCGAATTCTGAAGGATCGCGACGAAATTCGTTCTCGATTATCGTGTCGATCGTCCATCGTTCAGTTGAACGTCGACGGAAACGAACGAGCCCGTTTC